TATAGGGTGGTACCTTCCAATCCTCTATTCTAATGTCTAAGAATGTGAAGTTTATTTAATTTAAAGACAAAATGAAAAGTGAAGTGATATATTCCGATCCGTTTGTATATTGAAAAAAATGGCAGGCAGCAGGGCATATAGCAGGGGAGTACAAGCCTGAGGAATGCGCTGCTTTGATTGCTAGATGGATATCTGGAAAAGATATATCAACATTTCCTCAGGACATTGTCTAAGCATTCTAAATTTCATATTTATACATCAAATATATTTATGTATTTTTTTAAAGCATGCCATGTTTTTTTGTGAGGGACAGCGATGATATTTTCAAGAGAATTTATATAATAAATAAACACATTTTAATTTGCCAATATTTAAGTGGCTATTAAAAACTAGTTTTTTTAAGAAACAACTCTTTCAATTAGTGTTAGCATTTTGTATTATTTTTAAAACTTTACTACTCTCTTCGTCCCAAATTAAATTGTCTGTTTATTATTCACAAAGTCAGACATCATTCACTTTCTTTGTTTTCTAGAATTTTTTTGGTTAGTCCAAAAAATATCTAGTATAACAAAAAATATATGGAAAAACGAACTAAAAAATTGAAACATGTGAAAAAGAATCTTATACAAAAAGGAATTTTCAGAACGTAAAAAAATCCTTAGAAATTGGGATGTCCAAAAAGGATTCATTTTGATTTTTTTATTTTATTTTATTTCTTATTTTATTCCTCATTTTTTAAAGTTCATAAAAAAATGACTTTCTTATTTCAGAAAACAAAAAATAACTTGTATTTGCACTCTTCAATTCATGGTGGAGAGAATCTGTAATCTGGTGAGAAAGTACTGATCAATAAAGTTTTTCTCTTCTGTCTGTGGAGGTTACTAACAGGCAATTAGTAAACCATGTCAAATCTCTAACTTTTTCGTGATGGTCAATTATTTGTGTTCATATATACTTTTTCGCGTCTATCATAACAAACTGGCATCAGAGCTCAGGAGTCGTACACAGAAGAAATTACCGCTGCCCATGTTTTCTTTGATCTGAGACAACAAGAACCGCTAATGTGTGTGTGGAGATTTGAATCGTGTGCTTGCGGAGCTAGAAAAAATATTATATATTCTTTGTTACAACTCTTGTACGGATTATAACGGACGGGGAAGATGAACAGCCTCGGAAATAAATAATAAATAAAATTCTGAATTTATAATTTATTCAGAATATTACAAAATAAATAAAGTTGAAAATAAATTTCTATATCTTCAAACGGCCTTGTTGTACGAGGACATTAAGGACTGGACAGCGAGGACGTTAAGCACTGGACAGCAAGGTCTTTAAGCACTAGACAGCGAGGTCTTTAAGCACTGGACAACGAGGGAATGCAGCGAGGTCTTTATGAATTGAACCTGCAAAAACACAACACCGTGGAAGGACAACGGAGTCGCCGGAGCTGTCCTTAAGGTAGTAGTGCCCGCCTACCGTACCGGAAAAATGTGGGCACTCTCCTCCCAGGATAAAACCGCTATCGTGTGTGGAGATTGTACGGACCAACCACACACCAACGAACAAGAACAACGTAGGAACGTTGGCGACCAAAAACTTTAAAGGGGATGGCCGGATATTTTGGCCGGAAAATCAAGAGCTCTCTCTAAAGAAAATAATAAAGTGTTTTCTCTTTTTCTTTCTCTCTACCTCACGCAAGGCACATAAAAAATGATGGAGAGAGCTTTGATTTTTATAACAAAGGAGTTTAAAAAATGTAACTCCTACACTATTAACCCATGGAATTAATCATGGCATTTGTGGTGTGTTAATGGTGATTAATTAGCCATTAATACGTCCGTTACGCTACACTCCATTTAAAATTTGTCCTGAATAATTGGAGATTAATGGTCAGTTAACTCCGTAAAAATGGACTAATTTTAAACAATACGTAAAAATTAATAAAAGAAGATTGGTTCAGTAAAATTGTAAAAATTGCAATCCTCACCATATTCTTTTATTAACGAGTTAACTCTGAGAATCAATTTCTCATTCACCCTCTACCATCTCTGGCGTATAAATTGTCAAAACATTTATCTCATTTAAGAGAACACACGCCCATTAATTAATGGTTAAAACCGGTAGTGGACCTATTGACAAATATACTCAAATTGGTCCATGTAATGCCAATTAAAATGCCAAAAATTCTAACAATCCCCCACATGAATGAAAAATTGATTTGGGGTCGACAACATCCCATGATTGAAAACCTGCAAAGAACAGGTAAGTGTCTCCACTTTTGAACCTGTCCCTTGTAAAGTATACCTTCTTTACTGGCTGTTCAGTAGAACGCGATGTCTTTGAACTGTACTGCCGCTTGTGTAAACGATAGTATACCATACACAGATTCCAACCAAACGCTGTTTTGTTCTCATGGTTGTGCCCATTTTGGTCGTGGGACACGCGCTTGGTTCTACGAGAGTGTTTAGAGGATTAAGCCCAAGATCTTCCGTTTGAAGCGACCACACTTCACTCTTACATAGGTGATTCTTTAAGAGTATCCCGATTACTCCCCTTAGACCACCGTGTCTATTGGTTAAGAATCATTAAAGCATATTTATATGCTAACCTCATCATTTTCGGGAGTCACTGTCTTCAGCAGGAACAGAAGGGACTGACCGAAGGTTCCGGTACCGCCCCCACAGTGACCACGCTTTATCCTACAAGTAGGTTGTCCCATTGAACCTGGGTACCAGCCAGGTTGGGTTTTCCTTCATAGGACTGTCCTAGCACAAGGGCTTCAGACCCATTCCTGCCACCAACTTCTCATGCAACTCATTTGTTAACCCTTTGGTTAGCGGATCCGCCAGATTATCTTTTGACTTCACATAGTCAATTGTGATAATCCCAGTTGTGAGAAGTTGTCTAATGGTTTTGTGTCTACGNCAATAGATGCAAACTGGTGGGACCGGTTTATCCCATCTTGGAATGTCCTCTAGGAAGTGGCGTAGCCATTCAGCTTCCTCTCCACATTTGTCTAGAGCTATAAACTCAGACTCCATAGTGGACCTAGAAATCACTGTTTGCTTTGAGGATTTCCAAGATATTGCTGCACCCGCTAGCGTAAAGACATATCCACTTGTGGACTTCAAGTCTTTACTATCAGATATCCAATTCGCATCCGAGTATCCTTCCAATACCGGTGGATAACTCGAGTAGCATAATCCATAGTCACGTGTATACCGCAGGTATCTCATCACACGTACAATAGCCTTCCAGTGCTCATCACTCGGATTGCTGGTGTATTTACTCAGCTTACTTATGGCACAGGCTAAATCTGGTCGAGTGCAACTCATTAGATATATCAAACTTCCAATAACTCTTGCAAACTCGATTTGAGAGTTACTGGAACCTCGGTTTTTAGCCAGGTGAGCATTGACGTCCAATGGCGTCTTTGCTACTCTAACATCATCCTTATTGAACTTGTCAAGGATTTTATCAATATAATGGGATTGGCTTAGTGCTAGACCCCCAGGTCTTCTCACAATTTTAATTCCAAGAATTACTTCAGCCAGACCCATATCTTTCATGTCAAATCGCGAGTTTAACATGTCTTTGGTAGACTTGACCATCTTGTCATCGCTACCAACTAAGAGTATGTCGTCTACATATAGACACAACATGACATACCCTTGGGATGTGTTTTTTGGATAAACGCACTTGTCTGATTCATTAATTTTGAACCCAGAGTTCATCATTACCTGGTCAAACTTCTCATGCCATACTTTTGGCGCCTGTTTAAGACCATATAATGACTTAACAAGTTTACATACTTTCCTTTCTTGACCAGGAAATATAAACCCTTCTAGTTGTTCCATGTAGAGCTCTTCTTCTAAATCTCCATTAAGGAAAGCTGTTTTCACATCCATTTGATGTACTTCTAAGTTCCGCAAGGAAGCTATTGCAAGTATCATCCTAATGGAATTTATCCTTGACACAGGGGCATATGTATCAAAATAATCAAAGCCCTCACGTTGATTGTAACCCTTAATTACAAGTCTGGCTTTGTACTTATTGATGGAACCATCTGGTTTTATTTCCCTCCGAAAGATCCACTTAGAACCTAACGGTTTGCATTCAGGACGTAGATTCACTAACTCCCAAGTGTGATTCTGCATAATAGAATCAACTTCACTTTTAATTGCCTCTTTCCACTGAGGGCCTTCAGACGAAGTCACTACTTCACGATAAGTTCGTGGTTCATTTCTAATAAACATGTTAGAATATCGGGTTCAGTCTCTATCAAAAAAGATAGAGTCCCCGATTCAAATTCCAACAAATAAGTTAGAAAATCATTACCAAAGGACTTCTGAGTCTGTGTCCTTTTACTTCGTCTTAGTTCAGTCTCAGTTTCGGTTTCATCAATTATACCGGTATTAGACTGATCCGAGGAACCATCATTCAACATTTCATCATGTGAACGTTTGGAAGAACTTACTTCTTCCCTCGACTTTAACAGAAATATATTTTCGAAGAATGTTGCATTCCTCGATTCCATTATCGTGTTCTTATGTATTTCTGGATTATCAGATCTATACACTAAGAATCGATACGCGCTACCACTGTAGCCAATAAAGATTGCATCAGCGGTCTTTGGACCAATCTTTATTTTCTTTGGTGGTGGTGCTAAAACTTTTGCAAGGCATCCCCACACTTTCAGGTATTTATAGGAAGGTTTCCTATTATACCACAACTCGTAATGAGTCTTATCGAGTTTCTTTCGGGGTATTTTATTTAACAAATAATTGCTAGATAAAATAGCCTCCCCCCCACATATTTTGGGGTAGCCCCGAACTAAGCAACATCGCATTCATCATATCTTTGAGAGTGCGATTTTTCCGTTCCTGTAACACCCTCCGTCCCGCGAACCCGGTTCACCGCGGTCCAACGTGCCGGAGAGGTTACGTAGACGGTTTTAAGGCCGTCTACAAGGAACACCCCTTGGGTGGCTTGTAACGGAAAACCCTTGACATGCTTTATTAAATGATGAGGATGGATTCACTTAAAAGAAGTTTATAGCGGAAGTAAATGTAAGTAAAACAGTTAGGTCATAAATAACGTAAATGCGACAAAAGGTGGGTTCATGCCCAAAACGTTTTCATAAAATAAGTAATTCATCTGGCCCGCACTGTCGTTCATCCGCCGCTCCTATCACCCAGTCATCCGGGTCAGGCACCATGGTTCTCTTGCCTACCTGCGTATAACAAAGGGAATACAACGCTATACGCTCAGCAAAAGCTGAGTGGTAATCTAACAGTAGAACGCATAGCACATTCACATTGATATAGACATGATCGCACCTGAACTAAGTACGAGATACCACATACAAGTTTAACGGGTTAAGGTTTACAATTATCAATGATGCAATACCAAACAACATGATGCATGAGTTAGACTGCGCAGGGACCCCCTGCCCTTCGGTGATCATCCCCACGCGGTAGATGAGCCGAGGAACGCCTTAGTCGTCCCAATGGAGACTAGAATGTGGGTGATAGCTACGCCTAGCTACCATGTACGTACACAAGCCCTCATGATGAAAACCCGATGGATCCCGCAGGTTCCTGGACGGGCCCACGGAAGAGGCGCACTGGGCCTGACCCCTCGCCGTGGTATGCAACGTATGCCATGGTCCTAAACATGGGTCTAGGATATACATGATGATATGAATGCATGGGTTGGAGAGTGAAATTATATTCAACACATGCAAATATATTCGGTTCCATATGTAAACAACTTGTTCAACATGGCGGACCTGGGTTCAGAACTGGCGGATAATCGATTATCATGTTACGCAGTTCCTGTTCCCAAGTTCCGCAAGCCATGATAATCAATTGTCTCCTCATGACAATCGATTGTCAAAGTATTTGTTCAGGACACCCAAGTTCAGAGGGGCCTGATAATCGATTATAGGTATGTGATAATCGATTGTCAAAAGAACCAGCCCAGACATGAGATTCTGCAGGACCCAATAATCGATTATCAGCAAGGTGATAATCGATTATCACGTCTTGCTGAAAAACTGAGGAGTTCAGCTCGACCTAATAATCGATTGTCAAATTCTGTAAATCGATTATTAAGGCACGCTAGTTCCTATTTTTGCCTGTTGGATTTTCATTAAGACGTTGAGGGTTTTAGAAATGAACGTTTATGTTTCCAGCTTACGTATTGATGAGTTTGCATTGTTTTGTAACGTTTATACTAACAAGTGTGTAATCGAAAGGCCTAATAACCGAAAAGTCATGACGATATGGGTGCACGTAGGTTTAGCCGGTAATCCTATGAATATAACGATATGGTTATACTACGAATTCTAAGGTTAGAGGGCAACGTACTCACCTCTAAACGCAGAGATTTACGATAACGGTAACGGATGAACGAACGGCTAACAAACGGACAACGAATGGCGAACCTCCTGTATGCTCTCCCTTCTCTTCTACTTCCCGTTTACTCGCCGGAATCCACTCCGTGCCTGCCTGTTTCCTTGGCCGAACAGAGAAAAGGGAGAGGGGAGAGTGTTGAGAGCTTTGTTGGGGGTTACAAATGGGTAAGGGAAAATGAAGGGAAGAGTGGAGTTTTAAATTAAGAAATGAATGGGGAAGTTATGAAGAATTAAGAGGATTAAATAGGAATGATGGTGATGAGTTGTGGCGTGTGAGTTGGTGCTGGGAGTTACATCTCCCAATTTGTTCCGTTGTGTAAAATCTTACCTAATCGGTACGCAGTACTTTCCCCGAACGGGTCCGAATTGAGATCCGTTTACGTTTTTGGAATCCGACAGTCAAAACGAATATTATGACATAACCAAATAATTTTTCTAAGGATTTTATTTTCAAAACCCCGGTCCGAGTTAGTAATTAATTAATTAGATTAATCAATTCTAATAGACCGGGTCGCAGGGCGTTACAGTTATCCACCCCTTAAGAAAATTTCGTCCTCGAAATTTACCTGATCACTGGTCACTGAAAAGATGGGGATAACGGGTGCGCATGGATTCCTCCGTTTCCCACGTCGCCTCCTCAACGGTGTGACTTCTCCACAGAACCTTGACCAACGGAATGGTTTTGTTCCTCAACTGACGGATCTCCCGAGCCAAAATCTCAACCGGCTCCTCCTCATATGTAAGGTTCTCGTCGAGAGTGACCGTATCCGCTGGGATCATGTGTGAAGGGTCTGACCGGTACCTTCGGAGCATAGACACGTGGAATACATTATGAATCCTGCTCAACTCAGATGGTAATTCGAGCCTGTAGGCTACAGGTCCCACACGTTCAGTGATTGGGTATGGGCCTATAAACTCAGATGGTAATTCGAGCCTGCTGGCATGTCAAGCATCGTGCTGTAAACTCTGTGATTTCTCTCTTCATCGCAGGCCACCAGTAATGCTTCCGGAGATCCTGGAACATCTTGTTACTACCGGGGTGCATGCTATATACCGTACCATGTGCTTCACGGAGGAGACGTTCCCTTACCTCCCCCACTGGCACTACCACACGTGCCCGATACAACAAGACACCATCCTCACGGACAGAGAAGTCAGGTTTCTCGCCCCGAGAGGCGAGCTCACAGGTCTGCCTGCAGAAATCGTCGCTGCTCTGCGCCGTCACGATCTCATGCAACAATGTAGGCTGAACTCGGAGTACGGCTAGAGTTTTGCGACTAAGAGCATCAGCCACCACATTCGCCTTACCAGGGTGATAAGCGATATGACAGTCGTAGTCCTTAATC